CCAGACGACCGCACCCATTGCACTGGACGCGTTTAGCTGGGCACCGTACTGTGAGTGACCAGTGGCCCTTACCGTCACAACTGTTGCATGTAGACTCAGCAGCTGGACACACCTGTGTTCCGTGCTGCTTACCACAGTTGTTACAAAATGAACCGGGCGTGGACGTGGTGGGCGAAGACGTAGGAGCAGACTTCTTGTCCTTCTTGTACCGGGACACAGCGCGTACAGCTGTAGGGGGAGCTCGGATGGCAGAGGTGGCACACCTGGCAGCCTCATAGGAGCGACATATCGTCAAAACATCCTTGAGAGAAGAGGAAGAGTCGAGGGAGGTGAGGCGTTGGACAAGCTCCTCGTCCTTAACACCCATCAGGATCACCTGCTTCAACTGGGTCTCCTCGCACTGCTGGTGGTGGCCTAGACATATATCTACCTCTTCCGAGGCTCTCTTGAGTCGTACATAAAAGGCATCGAAAGTCTCACCCTCCATCTGTCTGCAGCTAAACAATTCCCTCCTGCGCAGAGCTTCATTCTGCTGTCCTTTGATATGCCGTTGTAGAATGTCCAGTACCTCCTCTACAGACAACGAAGAGGTCGGAGGTACCTGCAACGTATGTTCTAAGACACGCTGAATTTCCAAGGACAGGCACATATGCAGCTGGATGAGTTGTTTAGGCTGTGACAAACTCTGGAGATCCACCATTGTAGAATAATCAGTCCACCGTCGCCGCCATTCACGAAAATCTGGAAATTCACATCAGGCTTCAAGATGGGCGGTGTTTGAGCAGCTGCTTTAGGTGGGGCTGGTGGGCGTGAAGGAAGCATTGATGAGGTATCTGAACCAGTCAGTACCGAGGCAGTGTTAGAGCCAGGGGCTTGGTTAACAGTGAGGCGAGATATCAAAGCTTCAAAGGGTGCTCTGTCTTCCAATCTCCATTGGTGGTCTCTCTCTGCCTCTGCTTGTCTTCTGCGTTCGTCCTCCACAAGTCTGTTAGCTTCATCCTCGCACCTTTCATCTCTCATAAACTTCATTAAAGCAATTATCTCTGGAGACAACGCTGAATATCGAGGTGAAGGGCTGCGCGATGTTGTTGGAGCTGGAGCGTCATGGTCAGCCTGGTCACCCATCTCTGCGGGTCTATCATCCGATTGACTCATCCGGGCGCTGGCTCCACGGCTACGTAAGGCACGAGACATAACTACTTCATCTGTGTACTGTGTCTTAAATCAGTGTTGACCGGTCAGCCCGTCGTATCAACAAGATCTCAGACAAAAAATTAATTAAATACACAGATAAGTAGATTATATATATATAAAATATATATAAGGCAATCGCCGCGGTCAGTGTGTGTGTGCGTGCGTGTGTGTGTGTGTGTGCGTGTGTGTGTGTGCTGGGCGGGCGAGAGTGTCTCCTCGAGCTGTGAGGGGCGGTGGAAACGACATCTAGTGTCAGTTACCCTCGAGGAATGATTAGAGGAGGATGTGAAAAACGTTACTCCTTATAAATGCCCAGAACATGCCGTGTACCTTGGGAATCCTTTAGAACAAGGTCACACATGTATGGCACGAAACACACAATGCACTAAACACTGGGCAGAAAATCACCGTCACTGACACTGCTCAAAGTTGCTAAAAATTCTTCGAGGAGGGCGGTTGTGAGGTGACGCAGAGGAGTCCATAAGCCGGCTTTCCCACAAAGTTTACACTGTCACTCGTAATTATTCAGTAAAACCGGTTCACTGCGCCATGTTCGTGTTCTGGGTAATAAGTTCAATATACAGGAGCAAACACAAACACCTGTATAATTTTATAGGTTCTATTTACTGGATAAGAGATATGTACACAAGGGGAGTAGCGCTCCTCAACCTGTCTACTGGTCAACTGCTCTATAGGCGACGTATGGCAAGTGATCACTAACAGCTTCCATATGTCGCCAGGCACATTAATTAAGCATGTGGGACATGGTAATTACATTGCCACACGCTGCTAGCTAGGCTGAATAAATAATATATATAAATGGAGCACATACATAATATACATACATAATATATAATACAGCATACATAATATACATACAGTTTTGTAGGGGAAAACATATGATTTTGTGCATGTAAATACAATATATACTGGAATCAACTAGTTAATCATATATATAAACACTATACTAACCCAACTCTACCACTGATCAGAGCAGCTGTGTGGCTTGTGTATATTTTGGTCAAAAGAATTACCAACAGGATGTGAAACTCGTATTTTTGGCTGTGATGTTTTGTTTTGCCGCATCGGCCACCAGGGTGTAGCACCATCGCAATTGTTTTGGCGTCATCGACTCATTGCAAATGGCTGACTGGCGGCTGAACTTTCTGATAACATTTCCTGTTTCTTTCTAGGGTCAATTTTAATTTAGATAATAAACAAATGTTTCTTGAAGGTAATAAAGTCCTTAAATAATGTAAGACATGTATCTGGTGTGGGTTACATATGCTGGAGAAGGAGGTAGAATGAGACGTTGAGAGCTTCCCTCTGCCGTCAATCCAATGTAAGCCATTATCTACGTCTACGGCAAATTTGCCGTAAGTTTGTGATAATAGATTGTGATAATTTGGCTTGTTTTTCAGTATTTTATTATGAGTAATAGTATTAGTAACAAAACTGTTGTGCTTTGTTGACTACTGCTCGTCCCAGACTACCTAGATAGTAACCTCCAAGGTGGCAAGTGCTTCCACCCTCAATATTTTAAATTCCACAGATGAGCTTAAAAAATTCCTGAGATTCCATGAAAATTCCTCAGATTATTTTTATTGTATACAGTTTTTACATATATATTTTACATATCTTATGTACAGGCAAATATATTATACTGCCAGATTCTGGGGTCATTAATACTAAGGGTAAATACTTAACTCTACTCTTAATTTCTAAGGGTCCCTGCCACCAGATCCCCTCTGGACAGCATGTAGCTCGTTAGGTAGCGTGCAGAGTGGACTAGGCATTGGGTTGGGTTTTCCATTGACCAGATCGATAAGGGTAAAGAAGGGTGAAACCATAACATGTCTTAATTAATTTATTCCTTATAAAGCATACTGGTAAAAAAACATACACATGGATGGGTCTTCCTCCGAAGAACAACGAAAATGTTGTTTACCCAGATGGGCACCAGACTCTTACATTAATGGCGTGTCATCCACCTACTTATTGCATAACAATCTGTGACCACCTTACCTCGGTCATTCCTTCTTACACTATCCCTTTACACATCAGACTGCTCCACCTGTATGGAATATAGCACCGTCGGTTATCATACATAGTAGCACCATCTCAACACACATGTTACACTCCATACCTGCACGTATGGGACTCCTTGTGACTTTTAGGTATAACCAACAGGCACCTCGTTCGCACACCGCCCTCGGTGGGTAGAGACGAGGGCTTCACCTAGAGTCATACCAGCACTATTTCTACGCCTGGTATTATAGGTCGCTCCAAGTGACGACCGCAGAGTTTCTCACGGTCTCCTTATTTGTGACTACTCATTTGGAGTGGTGTGTTGGTAATCCACAGGTTCACAGTGAATTGGCATAACTGGGAGTAATCACCACCTGTTGTGACGCTCAGAGGGATAATGGCGGCCGGGCGGCAAGGCACTCCGACCGCATGGCACCTGCGGTGATGGTAGAACGGGAAATACTCAGAAATAATGCCTGACGGGCGGTTATCACACCCCCTAACACATTACTATAACACTTATATATCCGGCAAAGCTTTATACTGTAATAACTTCTATATAAACCTTAATTATAGGACGGGATATAGCCCGCTAGGACACTGACCTGTGGTGATGGTAGAAAATACTGAGGGCATTGCCCGCCGCTCCTCATCACATAGGCCTACAGTTTCCAATCTTTAATTTTTACTTTTATTTCTTACGGTTCTCACCTGAACACTTTTCGGTATATTGTCACTCATGCCTTATAAACACATATTTTAATCCTAAATTACCCTCTAAGGTAAGGTCTTGGTTTGCTAGTTTCGTGGGTAAATTCACTGGGTTATAATATCCCCGCGCACACCCGAAGCGGGTACATGACGCACCTTGAAACAAAGGCTGAAGGTTCATGGCGGGGGTGTATCAACTTCACTTAAAATTGTAATGAGGGATCCTCCTCTCACACATTGCACTATTTGAACACAGACATAAGATTCTCTGATCACTGTACCTGTCGTGGGTATATGTCACGTGAGGATACGAGGTGTATTAAGTTCATACCGACGCATACAAGATATTTCCTTTCAAGTATAGTTTCTGGATCACTTCCAACACCTCACATAGTTCTGATACATTTATCCTTTTTCCAGATCATTGTTCTCATCCTTTTTCCAGATCATTGTTCTCATGTAGTTTCATATGATATCTGTGGAAGTTATGTTCGCTACACGCTCACAGACGTAAATAGTATGACCTTCAAACCCTGATCCACACTTAGTCTTACAGTACACTAGTCCGGCTCAACTGGACTTTAACATTCATCTTATGCATACCCTGAGTTCTCCTTAATGCTATGAATACATACACTTAATATGATATAACTGTACCTGGGTACAATACAACACATGGTCTAGTAACATTGAGTAGGTGAGTTGTCCTTTATCAATGTTTCCCGTTTTCTGAGATTCTACAAGCGCGGTGGATTTGAATGTTATATAGCGTAATATGAATTAAATGGGATTTTTAAGAATGACAATGATGTGCGCAGTACAATATGAATCAAACAATGCTTCAATACTGACAACAAAATAGCTTAGAAAAAAAGATGTCAAATGCTTCCAGTCACAGTAACTAGCAGTACTTACCCTTGCCTTTACACCATGGTGCTATCATATTTTGTTCTGGTGTTCTAGATATACATACATATGCATAAGCACATTTGCTAAAAGGTGCAATGAAAAGAAGAATAGGCATGAGGAGTTTCAAATAATTTGTATTCCCAATGGCAGTAATTATCTCACACTTTGACCTCTCTACTTATTTCCTCAAGAAATTTCTTACACAAATCAGCAGCTTCTTCATCATCTACATTTGCTACCATTCTCGAATGAAGCTTAAGCATCTCTTTGGGAGGATCTAAGGTTGCAGCCACATGGCTCCCCCTTTGCTGCAACCACAGTTTTGATGTCATAAGACATAAAAGACTCATGCTTTAGAGCTGCTCTGTGATCTCTCTTGATAAGCTTAAGCTGACTAAAAACTCTTTCTACAGAAGCATTAGAGAATGGGAAGGAAAAAAGCACAGATATTACTTTAGACCAGTTAGGATACATCTGGTTTCCTACAGCATTTTTTTGCCTAAAGATGAGGAGCCAATAATCTTGACTGCTCATATCACTAGCAATATTAAGGCACATAGCAGGCTGCCTCCATTCATTGTCCAAAGTTTGCACATCAACAATGTCTTTATGATATGGCATTTATTTTAATAAATGCAGCAAAGATGGCACTTTCATATCATTATAATAAGTATTTCAAAAGAGGCGACATTTACTAGAAGCTAAAACAGTATTGTATAACTTGACCTATTATAACCAACCAAAGAGACCTACCTAACCTTACCTAACTTTCTAGCCAGGGGGTGGACCTGCCATATTAAACTAAGTACCGCATTTGCTGGCGTATAAAACACTTTTCTTTTTAATGTATCCCAAATTATCCCTCATAAATTGCGCCCATATTACGGATGGGAAGCCGAGCGAGCGATTCCACTTTTGAGGAATTTTCATGATTTTAAGGAATTTCTGGTCTAGTAAAGCATGACAAAGAATTTTCCCAGGAATTTGTAAAATCTAAGGAATTTTAAGGAAAATCAGCTTTGTGATATCTAATGTGGTTGTATGAGATGAAAAGGACTTTGTTTTGTGAAGTGTCTAAGATAACAATACTAGTTAAGTCTCCCACACTGGTGTAAGGGCTGGACTTTCCTTACTTCATACTATTTCATACTTATTCTTTTTATTCTTCAATACTTCCTTATTTGAGTCTCCCATTTGAGGAGTTCGATTTCTCATCGTTTCAGGACGCCTGAGTCCTCCGTTTTCTCTCAATCTTAGATTGCACCCGAAACCTCATTATTCCTTAGTAATGACAGAATTTGAAATTACAACTGTGGTTGCAATTGTTGAGGCAACTTATATATTGATGGTTACAAGTGTTCCCCGAAGAATGCAGTGATGGGTAGGGAAACACCGGGTAACACTGAAGTCCGTTTATTAAGGGATAGGAGAAATACAAGTGGTGACTAGTGTGTGCCATGCATGGCTCACACAGTCAGACTGAGACTGCCTTGCCATATGGCAGCCTCGGGGCAATGTTGCCACATAACACGTGCAATGTTGCCACATAATTATATATATAAATGCTACTCGGCACAGTAGCTTATTTACAAGGTTGCTACTCGGCACAGTAGCTTAGATGCATAACCTACATCTCCCTCCCCCCTCACGCTCATAGTCTTTGTCTTGAGCGGACTTCTTAGTCCTAAGTCGCTCCGAGCATCGAGGTGCACTGTGGGGCGGATCCTCGTGAGGTGTAGGTGACTCGTCCTCAGTCAGGGGGCCAGCAGCAGGGGGTGGGACTGGCCGGAGGAAGCGGCGGTTCCTCCACCAGACACGGCCGCTCGGCATCCTGACCGTGTAGTCCCGCGACCAGCCGACGTCCATCACTATGCCCACCTTGTCCCAACGTGTCATCGTCGGGACCTGGACACGGACAAGGGCACCAATCTCCACTGGCTGAAGAGGGCGGGCACGGTCGTCATACCGAGCCTTGGCGTCCTGGGCACGTGTAGCGGCGCGGCGGTCGCAGCTCTCGGCTCTGGCCTGCCACTCCTTCGCAAAGGCCTTGGCGTGTGCAGGAACGCAAGAGCGGAGAGGGTGACGATACAGGATCTGCGCAGGGGAGCGTCCTGTGTGGGTGGGAGTGGACACGGGTTCTGGGCAGCTCTGTGCAGCAGCACCAGGTGCGTCGCTCGTTGACTCACGCACCCTGCTGGCGGTGTAACGAGCAGCTGAGAACTGCTCGGGAAAGTCTCTGGGCACCACGCATAACTCCTTGAGGTGCCCCCACGACAACAAGGGTGTAGCGAGAGTTGGCTGCACGTCGATCCATCCGTGACACGACCTATCGCCGTAAGTGATCTCCGCTTGAAAGGAGCCCACAGCGTCCGGCATCTGGGAACCGTCCGCATTGTAGTACAGCAGCTGCGGCTGTGGTCCCAGGTCACGTTTGGTGAGGCCCAGTTTCTGGAGGTGCTTCAGCCCAATCACCGTAGTATCAGCGCCGGTGTCCGGTATCACCTCGATGTGACCTGACACATCACCGTGTGTGACGGCGACGCGGATGGTGGGGGAAGGGGTAGCCCTGGGGCGTGTGGTCGAGTCCACCCTCCTGATGTGACTCCGCTGCTGCTTGGGGCTGCGTGGGCCATCTGGAGGGGGCTGCGTGCGAACCACCCCGAGGGAAGTACGCTGCTTTCCTCCTCGTCTCTGGCTTTTGGGCATGGGTTGGCGGCAGCACTTGTCGTAGTGTCCATAGCGACTGCAGGCCTGACACTTGCGGCCTCGTGCAGGGCACCTGTCTGTGATAGACCAGTGGCCCTTACGGTCACATCGACGACACAGGGCGTCGGCGGCCGGGCATGTCTTGGGGCTGTGCTGCTTTCCACAGCTGCCACAGGAAGCACTAGGCGGAGGCGTGGAAGAACATGCGGCAGCCTTCACGTTGTTGGCCGCCTTCTCACCCTTCTTGTACTGAGAGATAGCTCTCACAGCAGGTGGGGCCCATAAGGCAGAGGTGGGGGACTTCGTGGCCTCGTATGACCGACATTCAGTCACTACCACCTGGAGTGTGGAGGAAGCGTCCAGGGGGATGAGTCGCTGCACCAACTCTTCTTACCTGACACCTGTCAAGATCCCTTGCTTGATCCAGGCTTCCTCACATTCCCGGCTGTGCGCCTTGCAGACGTCGATCTCCTCTGACAAACTCTTCAAGCGTACAAAAAAGTCGTCAAAGGATTCGTTCTCCGCCTGCTTGCAGCTGGTGAAGGCACGGCGACGCAAAGCCTCGTTGTTCCGACCCTTAACATGCTCCTGTGAAAGGTCGAGCACATCCGTCACTGAAGAGATAGAACCGGGAGGCACTTGCAATGTGTGCTCCAAAACTCTCTGGGTCTCCAGCGACAAACAAATCCGCAGTTGGATGAGCTGTTTATTTGGAGACATGCTGTCAAGGTCCACCATCGTTGAGTAATCTGTCCAACGCCGCCTCCACTCACGAAAAAGCTGAAACGTGACGTCTGATGAGAGGGCGGGTGGGGGTTGAACAGATGCCTTGGGAGCTGTTGGGGTAGCAAGAGTGCCTGCAGGACGCTTGTGTGGTGGAGGAGGGAGGGTACTGGCGCCTTGACGCGCGCTACCTGCGAGTGAGGGAGGGTGGGTTAGCGCCAGGGTCGCCAATAGTGCCTCAAAACGCAACTTTTCCTCCTCTCTTCGTGTCTCCTCCCTCTGAAGTTCCATCTCTCTGCGTCTCTCGTCCAGATCGTCCATCCACCTCAGAATTGTGGCAATGTCCGTCACTGGAGGTGGAGGATGAGAGTCTGCGCCCGGTGGAGGGGAAGGTGTTGGGGAGTCGTGTCTCCCATCTTGATGTTGTCCCTTCTTACCGCTCATCTTTGTGTGTGCGTGGACTGCACTGTTTAGTGTATAAAGTGTCACCTCAACAGCTCGAACCACATATATATGACATAAACAGTGCAGAAATAACGCAGAGTCCACTGTTCTGTCCGTGAGTGAGTGCGTGCGTGCGTGCGTGTGTGTGTGTGTCTGAGAGAGCACTTCGTGGTGGCCTTAATGCCGGTGGCTAGAGACATGGCGGAAGTGACACCGTCAGTGTCTCCCGGGATGTAACACGAGAAGGGTGTACGCCTGCGTGCTCCGTGGGTACCACAAAAAAACAGGCCAATGCTCAACTCTCAGCTCTAGACACACACTAATACACTGACACTAACACTGCCACCGTCACTAAAATGCACTGTGACGGCCCAACACTGCACATCGCGGCGAAACACAGCGCAACACAACACAACACACTATGAGTCGACGCGCATCACCGGCAGACGTAACTGTCTCGGCATTGTTTACACACTTGTAAGTCCACAGATCCTAGTCACTGCGCCATGATGGTTACAAGTGTTCCCTGAAGAATGCAGTGATGGGTAGGGAAACACCGGGTAACACTGAAGTCCGTTTATTAAGGGATAGGAGAAATACAAGTGGTGACTAGCGTGTGCCATGCACGGCTCACACAGTCAGACTGAGACTGCCTTGCCATATGGCAGCCTCGGGGCAATGTTGCCACATAACACGTGCAGTGTTGCCACGTAATTATATATATAAATGCTACTCGGCACAGTAGCTTATTTACAAGGTTGCTTCTCGGAACAGTAGCTTAGATGCATAACCTACATATATGTGTGATTACAGTTGGAACATTCAAGATCCAAATTGAGTAATGTTGAAAGCTTCAACTGTCCTTATCAGTGGCGGCTCGTGATTCTAATACGTAGGGGTGCTGCTTCAAAACATTTTTAAGAATTTTTTTAATATTGTGTAAGACACACACACACACGGAAATACAGTAGGTATATATATATATATATATATATATATATATATATATATATATATATATATATATATATATATATATATATATATATATATATATATATAATGATAAAAATAATAAAATAATAAAAGTATGGTAAAAATACAAAAAAAACATTTAACACTTACAGATAAAATACTCCAGTCTAGCTTGATCCAAATTATTTATTTAAAAATAAAATCCATTCTTCTTGTTTTCTTTTGAGCGAAATGGTCAACAACTTTCTCATTGATGTTTGGATGACTGTTAAAGAAATTTTTCTCCGTTGAAATCATTGCAAGTGCATTTAGCCTTTCCTGATTCATAGTGCTCCTCAGAAAAGTTTTTATTCTTCTTAATGTTGAAAAGCAGCGTTCAGGCTCTGATGTAGTCATAGGAATTGTCAAGAGGATTTTTATCAGTTTCGTAATCTCACTAAGAACACCATCTAAATTATTTTCCAAGATAAATTTCAGCAGGTTAATTAACCTGCAATATTCATGCATATCGGACCTACTGTAGAATACTCCAAGTTCAGTTTCAAATTTTTCTTTGTCAATCATGGGATACGCTTCAGTGGTCAATCCTATCTCTTCTGTAGGCAGTTTATTCTTAAAACTAGTGAAGCTTTTCTTGTTGAATAATTTAGCAGCTACTAATTGTTTAGTGAAAGAATATCTCTCCACTATATCAACACATATGCAGTCACATACTTCCTTTGCTTCAGCCATGAGCGTCTTTGAAGGATTCTCACAGTACTTCGAGTTTCTTATTTCTAAAATAGCAGTTTTGAAATTTGTTATATATTCATGTACTTTAAACACATAATTTCTCGAGACTGCATTTGGTTGTAAATTACTTCAACATGAGGCATGATCTGATGAAAAAGCTCCAACCAGAACATGGATTTTTCATTATTCAGGTAGTGCAAAATTCCTGTTGCTTCTGAAATGGTTCGATCTGCATTTACCGTCGACTGGATTTCAGCAAGGCAGCTTTTTAAAGGTTGCAAATTTTCATGAACTTTGTTCACGGTCCGTATGTTAAAGTTCCACTGTAGTGGATTTCTCCCCTACAAACGCTGTTTGTCGCTGCGTAGCCGACCCCACGAATTCCCCAGTGTATGCCTCGTGGTCTAGGTCAACCAGCGCCGCCATACATCACGGAGCGGGGGTCAACTACTAAGCCACGCCTACCCCCCGCTATTTAAGACCTGACCTCGTGGTGACCTGTCTCTTTCTACCTCCACCAACCAGCAAGCAACACCTCCTCCTCCGCCAGCCTGGCGGTCCTCGCTCCCGCCGGCGAGCATGGCGACCCACAAGCTGTCCTCCTCTGAGCACCCTCACCAACCAGCTCTCTCTACATCACGCTTGTAACCATGCTGCCTTCCCAGCACCAAGCTGCATTGTACATCCAATACAACATGTATACAGAGAGCACATTGTGAGTTTCCTTTCTCCAACCCATCCTGAGTGTGAACACCAAACAAATCCTGTACCCCACTGTCACGTGCCTCAGCGCTCGGGAACTCGCAATGGCGTGAGGCATATGTTCACTCCTCCATTTCACACAAGCTATTAATAATTTGTTAATTGTACTTATTATATTATTATTGTTCTTGGTTACTTAGGTTAATTGTATATTTATGTATGTTATTAATATGCATCATTGTGTTACTCTGTTAAGTCAAATCAAGAGAAGTATTAATTAATTATATAGATTATCTAGCAAATGTCCTGGATCACGTGATATGAGACGCTCTCCTCCACGGCGTGCCCCACGCTTCCCCAGTAGCGAAAAACCGTGGCATATGGTAGACGTGTCCATTTGTTCTCTAGCCTTGACCCTTGTCTAGTGCCTTGTCCAGTCCTCTGCAATGCCCTAGGGTTATCAGGTATTAGTGACATGTTTAGTTAGGCCTAGGAAGGGATCCTGGTGGTAAGGAATCTCCTGTTTGGTAGGAAATAACTATTTTGTAGGGATTGTTGTATATATATATTGTATGTTTGTTTAACATAGTTATGTTAAGTAGTATTCGTTTGGTCTAACTCCTTACGGTATATTTTCACCCTTCCGGCATCACTCTTATTTTAATATACAATTACTTATTCCCTTAAATTCTTGTTTGCTATAGTCAGTACCCCCTTTAGAACATAAATTGAATTAATTAATTATCTTCCCTTTTGTGACTTACTTATTTCAACTTGTTCATACTTATTCAAGTACATTTAGTTGAGTAGGTTTTTGTGGGGATAATTATTGCCGAGGTTCCCTATTTGTTCCTTTATTTGATAATAACTTGGGGTAGGTTTCACTCCCCAGGTATAAAGGATATTGGGATTGCGGCACCCACACCCTTGTAGAGGATGGGCGCGGAATGCTGACGTTCATATGCTTATTGAGAATGGATACACGTTGTGGTGATCTTGAGAAAAATGTTGGTATAGCCAAAACGTTAGAGAAAAATATTCTTGAGTCCCGCGTAATACTTGCTGCATTTCTCATTATCAGATTCAGTTGGTGCGCATAACAGTGAATGAAATGTGCATTATTATAAACTGCTTTTATTTTTGCCTGAACGCCCCCTTTTTTGCCTTTCATGACATTTGCACCATCAAATGTCTGAGCTATCAGTTTTTGTCTATTTCCTTGAAGGATTATATCTAACTGCTCTAGAATACATTTTGATATGCCATCTGCAGTTTGATTTTCTGGAATAAAGAATCCCCAAAAACGCTCAAATATTTCTTCATTCAGCACGTACCGTAGAACAATTACCATTTGAGTGTGTTCTGAAACATCTGTTGTGTCATCAGCCATGACAGCTACAAATGAAGCTTCTTTAATCTCTTCTTTATCTCATCATGGTATATCTGCAGCAGGCAGTCAAGTATCTCATTCTGAATAGTCTTAGAAACACCTGTGAAGACTGTCCTTGTTTCTAAATGGTTCTTTAAATCTGGGTCTAATTTAGATGCAAAATTTATTAATCCCATAAATACACCTGGATTTACTGAATCATCTTTTTCATCATGTCCACGTAAAGGAATTTCAAAGTTTCCACAAAATGTAATGTAGTCTATTATCTTGGATAAAATTTCACGGTTCTTGGTAACCTTCCTGTTATGCTCATTGATCGAAAGTCAATAGGCTTCACTAAGTTTTCTTTAATATTTACGCTTCCTGAAAGAAATAGTGAAACAACGCTTTCAATATGCTTCTTTGACTTTTCAGGTTTTTCAGTTTTTTCTTTCATTTTGTTTATATTTCTAAAGCCGTCTTTTGTCCAAGTTACATCACTTCCAATTCCAAACAACAAGCACGGAAAACAAAATAATGTATTTTTTACTTCACAACCACAGAGCCAACTTTTCCTTTGGTACCATTCTGAATGAAAGCTACGAATATACCTCTTACTGTTGCTTATTCCTGGCTGAGATATTTGAATATCAGGTGAGGGACAACCTCTTGTCTTAATAGCAACTTTTTCATGAAGAGACAACTGTGAAAATTTAAGTTGTTGAAGTTCACTCACTGTCACAGAACTTGCTTCAAATTCTTCTACACAATAAAGTTTCTGGAAAAAACAATGAATACAAAATGTAGTCTCTATGAATCATACGCATCATCCTGTGTGGTGCTTACGCGCCGTCTGCTATATCAAGTGTATTTGAATGTGATAAATTGAAGATGATGTGATATCATACAGTATGATATCACATCATCTACATTTTATCACATTCAAATACTCTTGTTATAGCAAACGGCGCGTAAGCACCACACAGGATGTTGCGCAAACACTACCTCCCACACTGATAACCAGATCGGCACTGAGTGAACCACAGTGCTCGCCATTGCTTGCCTCCAGGACATACTCGCATGAGTGAGACAAAGCAAACGCCCGTTATTGGAACTGTCGAGTAAGACGGTTCCACATACAGGGATGTTTGTTGTTTTCTCGGAATTAGAGGATGGCCATTGACATTAAGCTTAAAGATTATTGAAAATAGTTTTAAATATCTTGTACAAGTATGAATAAATAAACATATATGATATATTATATTATATAATACATATATATCGGGTGAAATAGGGGGTGCTGCAGTTCCACAGTGCCTACCGACGAGCCGCCACTGGTCCTTATTGTTCATAAAACTAGTCAAGAAAGTGAGTGTCCAGTTTGTCAGTATGAGTAGCATATCCTCCCTCGCACCACCACCAACACCGCCCTCACACCAACACCAACACCTCCCTCACACCACCAACAACACCTCCTTCACACCAAAACCCATACCTCCCTCATACCACCAAGAACACCTACCACACACCAACACCAACACCGCCCTCACACGAACACCCAACACCTCAAAACACCACCAACACCTCCCCACACCAACACCGACACCTCCCTCACACCACCACCCACACTTCCCTCACACCACCAAAACCATACCTCCTCCTACACCAAGAACACCTACCACACACCAACACCAGCACTCTCCACTCACCGCCAACACCTCATTCACACAACACCTCAACTCCCTCCACACCAAGAACACCTACACACACCAACACCTACACCTCCTCACACCACCATAACACCTCCTCTCACACCAACAACCTCGCACAACCCACACCTCCTCAGCCCACCAACACACCTCCTTCATACCCCATGACTCCCTCACACCACCAACACCTCCTCACACCAACACCTCCCTGACAACACCTCCTCAAACAACACCAACACCTCTCTCCACCACACCACCCACACCTCTCTCCCATACAGACACCAACACCTCCCCACACACCAACACCAACACCTCCCTAACACCACCACCACCTCCCTACACCACCACCCTAACACCACCACCAACACCTCCCTAACACCCACCTCACTCCCCTCCCTCACTCACCACCACAAACCTCCCTCACCACCACCCAACCTCACACACCACCTAACACTCCTACACCACCACCACACCTCCCTCACCACCACCCACACCTCTCACACCAACCACCACACTCCTCCACACCACCACTCCTCCCCCACCCACCCCAAAACCTCCCTCCCCTCCCAACAGCACACACACAAACACCTCCCTCACACCACCACCCACACCTCCCCACACACCACCACCAACACCTCCCTCACACCACCACCAACTCCCCCCACCAACCCAACACCTCCCAACACCACCACCAACACCTCCCCTACTTTCCCTACCCCTCTCTCTCTTTCCTTCACCCTTCCTCCTCACTGCTATCCCACACAGCACCACAAAAACCCATCTCACACCATCACCCTTTTATCCCTCCCACACTACCACCAATACCTCCCACACAACACCACCATGCTCCTCACACCATCTGCTTCTCCCTCATACCAACACAACATTGTAACTTCTA